TAGAAGTGATGCAAGGAGGGAAGAGTATATGGAGAAAAAGAGAGAGGTTAAGAGAGTGGTGAAGCAATGTAAAAAGAGAGCAAATGAGGGAGTGGGTGAGATGTTATCAACAAATTTTGTTGAGAATAAGAAAAAGTTTTGGAGTGAGATTAACAAGTTAAGAAAACCTAGAGAACAAATGGATTTGTCAGTTAAAAATAGGAGAGGAGAGTTATTAAATGGAGAGTTAGAGGTATTGGGAAGATGGAGGGAATATTTTGAGGAATTGTTAAATGTTGACGAAGATAGGGAAGCTGTGATTTCGTGTATAGGGCAAGGAGGAATAACATCTTGTAGGAGTGAGGAAGAGCCAGTTGTGAGTGTGGGGGAAGTTCGTGAGGCAGTAGGTAAAATGAAAGGGGGTAAGGCAGCCGGGATTGAGGGGATAAAGAAATTTTAAAAGCAAGTGGGGATATAGTTTTGGAGTGGTTGGTGCAATTATTTAATAAATGTATGGAAGAGGGTAAGGTACCTAGCGATTGGCAGAGAGCATGCATAGTTCCTTTGTATAAAGGCAAAGGGGATAAAAGAGAGTGCAAAAATTATAGGGGGATAAGTCTGTTGAGTGTACCTGGTAAAGTGTATGGTAGAGTTATAATTGAAAGAATTAAGAGTAAGATGGAGAATAGGATAGCAGATGAACAAGGAGGCTTTAGGAAAGGTAGGGGGTGTGTGGACCAGGTGTTTACAGTGAAACATATAAGTGAACAGTATTTAGATAAGGCTAAAGAGGTCTTTGGGGCATTTATGGATTTGGAAAAGGCATATGACAGGGTGGATAGGGGGGCAATGTGGCAGATGTTGCAAGTGTATGGTGTAGGAGGTAGGTTACTGAAAGCAGTGAAGAGTTTTTACGAGGATAGTGAGGCTCAAGTTAGAGTATGTAGGAAAGAGGGAAATTTTTTCCCAGTAAAAGTAGGCCTTAGACAAGGATGTGTGATGTCACCGTGGTTGTTTAATATATTTATAGATGGGGTTGTAAGAGAAGTAAATGCGAGGGTCTTGGCAAGAGGCGTGGAGTTAAAAGATAAAGAATCACACACAAAGTGGGAGTGGTCACAGCTGCTCTTTGCTGATGACACTGTGCTTTTGGGAGATTCTGAAGAGAAGCTGCAGAGATTGGTGGATGAATTTGGTAGGGTGTGCAAAAGAAGAAAAATTAAAGGTGAATACAGGAAAGAGTAAGGTTATGAGGATAACAAAAAGATTAGGTGATGAAAGATTGAATATCAGATTGGAGGGAGAGAGTATGGAGGAGGTGAACGTATTCAGATATTTGGGGGTGGACGTGTCAGCGGATGGGTCTATGAAAGATGAGGTGAATCATAGAATTGATGAGGGAAAAAAGAGTGAGTGGTGCACTTAGGAGTCTGTGGAGACAAAGAACTTTGTCCTTGGAGGCAAAGAGGGGAATGTATGAGAGTATAGTTTTACCAACGCTCTTATATGGGTGTGAAGCGTGGGTGATGAATGTTGCAGCGAGGAGAAGGCTGGAGGCAGGGGAGATGTCATGTCTGAGGGCAATGTGTGGTGTGAATATAATGCAGAGAATTCGTAGTTTGGAAGTTAGGAGGAGGTGCGGGATTACCAAAACTGTTGTCCAGAGGGCTGAGGAAGGGTTGTTGAGGTGGTTCGGACATGTAGAGAGAATGGAGCGAAACAGAATGACTTCAAGAGTGTATCAGTCTGTAGTGGAAGGAAGGCGGGGTAGGGGTCGGCCTAGGAAGGGTTGGAGGGAGGGGGTAAGGAGGTTTTGTGTGCGAGGGGCTTGGACTTCCAGCAGGCATGCGTGAGCGTGTTTGATAGGAGTGAATGGAGTCAAATGGTTTTTAATACTTGACGTGCTGTTGGAGTGTGAGCAAAGTAACATTTATGAAGGGATTCAGGGAAACCGGCAGGCCGGACTTGAGTCCTGGAGATGGGAAGTACAGTGCCTGCACTCTGAAGGAGGGGTGTTAATGTTGCAGTTTAAAAACTGTAGTGTAAAGCACCCTTCTGGCAAGACAGTGATGGAGTGAATGATGGTGAAAGTTTTTCTTTTTCGGGCCACCCTGCCTTGGTGGGAATCGGCCAGTGTGATAATAATAATAATAATACTATGTATTTATTATCTTGTCTAGTTTTAAGTATAGTTACTATGTATTTATTATCTTGTCTAGTTTTAAGTATAGTTACTATGTATTTATTATCTTGTCTAGTTTTAATTAGATACTATGTAGTATTTGGATTCTTCTGCCCACTGTAATTACACATTGTAACCTTTAGATAGAAATAAACTTTATCTTATATCTAAATGTTTCTCATGTGGAAAATACTTTAGATACAAGATGAAAAAATAGTACTGAAAACCCACAACTAAGTGATAATATTTTTGAAATATGCGAGGAAAAAAACAGGAAATATTTAGCAAACACTTCAAAAACACAAGAATAGAGGAGCATTGTAGTAGGGCTGGTTTCTCATGCCAGACAGGTCCTACTCACACCCAACCATTACATTAGAACATATGGTTGGTAAGAAGCTAGGAGAAGCCCTGGCCCTGGATGCTGGCTGTTGTGAGAAGGATTTTGGACAGGCAGCTGACAACTTCTGTTGTCCTCTCCTTATTCTTGCTCATGTTACTGTACTCAAACACACAACTTGTCCTCCCTCGCCACACAAGCTTGTACAACTACTGGATGTCTCTAAAGAGAAACCTTTCAAGGGTTATATATTTTTTATTTTATTAACACATCGGCTGTTTCCCACCAAGGCAGGGTGGCCCGAAAAAAAAACTTTCACCATCATTCAATCACTGTCTTGCCAGAGGTGCGCTTACACTACAGTTATAAAACTTCAACATTAACACCCCTCCTTTAGAGTGTAGACACTGTACTTCCCATCTCCAGGACTCAAGTCCGGCCTGACGGTTTCCCTGAATCCCTTCATAAATATAACCCTACTCACACTCCAACAGCACATCAAGTCCTAAAAACTATTCGTCTCCATTTGCTCCTAACACGCTCATGCATGCTTGCTGGCAGTCCAAGCCCCTTGTACACAAAACCTCCTTTATCCCCTCCCTTTCAAGGATATGAGAAAGAAACAGAACAGCTAAACGACAGAAGAGAGGACATTTACCAAAGGAGGCAGTACAAGGGCTCAGACATTAGCAACACTAACCACATTATTATTCATCACTATGGACTCAGAGTGCACATACACCTACTTTAAACACTGATGAACTAACTAAAAACACAGTTATAAATGGCACTTACGAATCTACCCTGGTAATTAAGTATCTTCCCCAAATTAACATTCTGAGACCTCTTCTCAAGTTCCTCTATATCAATGATTTATCAAATGCTACCCAACAAATAAACTTGAGTTTAAAATAGAAAAAAATATTCTAGTTTCTCTTCCAGCGGCTCAGCGCTGCTGTTCAGAGAGGTAATGTCTGCTGTATTTTGGGCACGCATTATAATCAGTGACAAACACGTAACAATATGTACTAGACATGTATCTCTCACACCTCATGTACTGTATATGCCATCTTTATATCAACAAAGTATCTCTTAAATCTTTTGTACCATATTATGTAATAAAATATACCTATTGGTAAAAAAGAATGAAAAGATGGGGTGGTAGGGGAAGTGGAATATTCAAATGGTTTTGGGAAGAAATCCAAATATTCTTCCTTTAAGCCTTTTTACCCACTTCTATATATATCTAGGAATAAAATATTTCCACAGTCATCAAAATGAATGAATATGAAGTACAGAAAAAGGATTAAGTTCCTTGGTCTGCTCTTAGTTAATAAATAAAAATTAATGCTCATACTCAGCTCAGCAGTTATATTCCCAGTGTATATTATCACCATTCCGTTTCTCTAATTTACACATACACCTACCATCCGATTTACGACCTGCTCGACATACGACCACTCGACTTACGACCATGTTTTTTATGCCAGATTTCTGGGAAATAAACAACTGTTTGTGTTGTACATAGTGTTTATCCTAAACCTTAAGGTATAAAATAAAGTACTAACAACATAAAAACTAAAGTAAAAAATGAAATACGACAATAAAACAATAAAACAAAATCACTACAAAAGTGTGATGTTGATATTCAGTAGTAAGGTTCAACTTATGTCCATTTTGACTTACGATAGGTTTGTCGGAACCAAGCTTGGTCGTAAGTCGGATGGTGCCTGTACCTTATCTACGGAATTTGTGCCTGGGGGTTCTATCTCTGCTCTTCACTTCAAAACAATTATCCCACAAAAGGCAGCCTTAAAAATCACCATAAACTTGTATCTTTTCCAGTACACTATTTCCTATCTAAGATCTCTAGATTCTTTTATTATGAATATCATTCATATTCATTACTATTCCCTCTACATCTTCACAAGAATTCATTGTAAAACTGATGCTGATTTAAGACATTTCCTGGAATTTTTTTTTTAAGTAGAACACTGGCATTACACTAGAAATAAATACCTCTGGTATTTAATCATATCTGAATCTCGACAGAAACTTACATTTCACATTAATAAATGTTTTGTAAAGAAAAGAAAATGTAGGTTAGTCTTGAGGATGTGAATAATAAGCAAACAGGAAACTCTGCAATGTTTAAACAGAGTAAGGGAAGAGGATGTTGCAAAGGAAATTATGATATGATAACATTTAAGGTGGATTATGGTTACCAAGTGTGGGGTAGGCCTACAACATACAAGGATTGAATTCCTTAAAAGTATTACCCATTACCCATGAATAAGTTTATCCCTTATTTTTTACCTAAAAAAATGTAATTTAAAAACTTCAATTTTTACAAGAGAATTTAAGTAGTTTTTACTGATAGAAAATAAGTATTTTTAATTAATTTTATTCAGTTTAACTCTGTTTAACACTTTCTCTGTTCCTACAAATTAATTTCATCGACACTGCTCAATAATAAATGAATAAACGTATAGTACTAACCTGGCAATATCTCGCCGCAGAGTACGGATCATGATCATGGTGAGAATGCCAGAGAGGAAGAACACCACTACTAGAGAATTAACGATGGAGAACCAATGTATTTGAACGTCTGTCATTTGGAGGTAGATGTCCCAGCGAGAGGCCCACCTCACTGTAGATTCTTGCCATTCCACTGAGTAAGTGAAAACAACATCGGTAGCTCCTATCTCCTTCACTTCTTGGGGATTGTGCTTCTCAGGGAAAGAGCAGTGACCATCTGTTTCCTTAAAACACAAAACAACGATAAATGAAACATCAGAGGCACAATGAATGTGGTAGCTGCATATACTGTATACCATATTTTGCACTGCAGTATTAATGTAGCAGATTACATAAAAAAAAAAAAGGGCCTTTCTCTTGGGTAAAATTAAATTACAATACACACCATAAAACCTTGTTTTACTAAAGCCCCTCAAGGGAGGTTCCTTGATGCTGGTGAGGGGCTCTTGATCTAGGGAATTGGATCTGTGCTCCAGTTCCTTGAATTAAGCCTGAATATCTTCCATCACCCCCCCCCCTGTTACAGGCACTGTATAATCCCTATGGGTTTAGTGCTCTCCCATGATTATAATAATGTTTTACTAAAGAATTACCATAAAAATAAAACCCAAGTGGCTTGAGTAAATCTTATGTATGTTAAAACTACTATCATACTCTGATACATTTACATATGATTTTTGTCCTGGCTAGTTTTGAGAGATCTGGTCAAGTCTCTCTGATGCATGATCAGTCAGGCTGTTGCTATTTTTGGCTAAAATTTGTTCCAACAAACCTAAACAGTTACCACATACTGGCTGATGTGGCAGGAACATGTCAATTCTCACTTTTATGTATACCGCACAAATGAAAGGTCCGACAAAATAAAGTACAGTCCACCAGGACTTTCTGAAAACTGTAACAATAATCGTCCTTAAAAGAAATGTCGAACAACACCGAATGAAAACTTAGTAACAATTTCAAACTTCCATTTTCCTCCGCACTTCACTTCTGACTACAGGAGACGTGTCCACTTCCTAAACACTTCCACCTATAGGTATGTCATGCTTCCATTTGAGGGAGAACGGCTGACAATGTTACCAAGATACTAGCTCATTAGAAAATAAGCCTGGTCTCTAACCAGGATCATCAGGCCTATCAGGGACCTACTGAAGGGGAGACCAGTCAGGATGCTGAAAACCAGCATGGGTATGTATGTTATCCCATGTGGACGGGGAGGGAACTAAGTGTACATGGGCAAGGCAGCCAGATGTTTAGACTGATGAGTGAGAAAGAGAGAGAGTGCATGTGCAGCTGAGACAGCTTTCATAATGCTTGTGCAATACGGTAATTGAAGGATGATGTGACAAAGCGTACATGGGTGAGGGAGCCAGATGTCTAGACCAGTGAGAGTGAGAGTGCATGTGTAGCCAAGACAGCATTAGTAATGCTTGTATGATGCAACAACAAGCAAAGGCCTTGATGAAATTGAAAGAAGCCAAACTGGTTTTAAAGGAGGGTAAACTGCTCAAGCAACAATGTATCGAGGATGATTACTGTTTACCGACCTAATACAGCATATACTATACCTGTTCTACCAACCTACTTCATTATACGTATATCTGTATACATAATTAGATTTAGGTAGCAATATCCCTGCTCGTGTGTACCTAACACTAGCTTTTATCAAATTATTCTTTTTTCAACAAACCAGCCGTATCCCACTGAAGCAGTGAGGCCCAAAATTTTATTATTATTATTATTATTATTAACACACTGGCCGATTCCCACCAAGGCAGGGTGGCCCGAAAAAGAAAAACTTTCACCATCATTCACTCCATCACTGTCTTGCCAGAAGGGTGCTTTACACTACAGTTTTTAAACTGCAACATTAACACCCCTCCTTCAGAGTGCAGGCACTGTACTTCCCATCTCCAGGACTCAAGTCCGGCCTGCCGGTTTCCCTGAATCCCTTCATAAATGTTACTTTGCTCACACTCCAACAGCACGTCAAGTATTAAAAACCATTTGTCTCCATTGACTCCTATCAAACACGCTCACGCATGCTTGCTGGAAGTCCAAGCCCCTCGCACACAAAACTTCCTTTACCCCCTCCCTCCAACCTTTTCTAGGCCGACCCCTACCCCGCCTTCCTTCCACTTCAGACTGTACAATATATTATGTCTCACACTGTATTCTCCTCTCATTTTAAACAACGTTCTAGTTTTGAAAATAAAGGCTTGGCCTTTTAACCCTTAAGCTGTGTACGAGGTACCTGTACACAGGAGATCAATCTATATTCAACGTACCAAACCTGCACGCCTAGTTTTCATGAATGCTAGTATACCACCTGCTTCAGCTCAACTGTTTGGGTCTCTTCCCACTTCCTCACACCTGCAAAAAAATCTAAGACTATGCAGATTCCTGCAGTGCATTATGGGTTCTAAATTTAGCAATGCCTCATTAACACACGAAAGCAATGAAACCAGAATCTGTTGTGTCAATACCAGCTTCCTTGTCAGCAAACAGGGTGTGGAACTGGAAGAAAGATACCTGTATTTATACCAAATTTATTATAATTTCATGATATCAACAGTGGAATTCAGCTGAAAACAACACTGTACAGTTAACCTAGGATAACTCAATAACGTCAGTGTGACTTAGATCAATCTAAACTATGGAACTGAACACCTTCCATCTAGGCTGCATGACTGAACATCCCAAGACAACTTCTCTACTTCTACCAAGGATGAGGGACTGCACTTCTTTGGCTGTCTTCAATATACTAGTCACCTCTGTATTTGAGTGAAGAAGCGTGCTGTGAAGGCAAAATATCATTGCAATAAAGGAACCTAAATGTTGCACATGTGTCCTATCTACAAAAATAACATATCAGTACAAGGATAATGATTATACGTGATAATATATTAATATTAGTATATTAATGAAAAAATAATGCAATTATGTACAGTAGTTGGATAACTCGTCACTATATTGTACGGACTCTCTTCACTTACAGATGTACTTGTTTACCGACATCTTGGACTTACGATGGGCTCTCTGACTAGTATGCATACCTAAATAATGTATATTACAGCTGATTTCCTCTATTCTGTATATTACAATATACAGTACACTACTGCATAAATATTTAAAAATATACCAGAAATGCTATAAATGGGGCAAAGGTGACATTAAAACAATATCAAAGATGGTTGACACAAACTCACTATCATTATAGTATGCTCCTCACTTAGTGACGAATTCATTTACCAACATGGTCTTAGGAACGAAACTCCGTCGTTAAGTGAGGAGAGGCTGTATTTTACCAAGTCACTGAGCTTGCCAGCTTGATAACTTGCTGACATCAGTGACTTAGAAATTTGGCAAGCTCACTGGATATCACAAATGAATTTCATAGATACCTGAGACAGAACAGGACTGACACCATTCCATCCATCTATCAACATCATTCAGGAAGTATCACATGTCTATGATTTTGGTTAGGCTACAAATACAACTGGAGAATTTGCACCACCAGCTGATGTAGACCAAACTAAATGTAGACTTAGTCAGGAACTTTGTCACACTATGCATCACTACAGTGGACCCTCGACTAACGATCAGCTCCCAAATCGACCAGTTATGTAAGTGTATTTTTGTAAGTGCTTTTGTACGTGAATTTTTGGGGGTCTGAAACGGACTAATCTATTTCACAATATTCCTTATGGGAACAAATTCGGTCGGTATCGGCACCTGAACAGACGTCTGAAATGAAATAATATCGTTAGTCGAGGGTCCACTGTATATATAAACAGGAATGTGAAAAATACAAGAATTTATATACAATTCACTTTGAAATATCATAATATTTCAACTATTTAGTCAAATATCCTGACTTTGCATACTCAACAGAGCATGTGATACTTTGAGTTTGGGTTGTTCATTACAAACATTTTGTTTATATCTTGACAAATTTGGTGAAACCAAATGTCCTGGTGGCTAACGCTTCACACAGCGAGGGTCTGGGTTCGATTTCCAGCCAGGGTAGAAACATTGGGAGTGTTTCTTTACACCTGTTGTCTATGTTCACCCATCAGCGTAAAATGGGTACCTGGGTGTTAGTGGACTGGTGTGGGTCACATCCTGGGTGTTAGTGGACTGGTGTGGGTCACATCCTGGGTGTTAGTGGACTGGTGTGGGTCACATCCTGGGTGTTAGTGGACTGGTGTGGGTCACATCCTGGGTGTTAGTGGACTGGTGTGGGTCACATCCTGGGTGTTAGTGGACTGGTGTGGGTCACATCCTGGGTGTTAGTGGACTGGTGTGTGACACATCCTGGGTGTTAGCAGACTGGTGTGGGTCACATCCTGGGTGTTAGTGGACTGATGTGGGTCACATCCTGGGTGTTAGTGGACTGGTGTGGGTCACATCCTGGGACAAAACTGACATAATTTGTGGGAAATGCTCAGCATAACAAGGGACTTTCTATATAGTAGTATGTCACTGATGTCAGCTATAGTCTGTATACCTTGTACATGTACTTGTAGTAAATAAAATTATTATTATTATTATTATTATTATTATTATCACAAGAATCATTCTTTCCTCCCCATTGTGAGGTAATATACTCAGCCCATCCTCAGATTCTTAGTTAGTTTCATACTTACTCATTATAGCTACAGTAGTAGTTTCAACATGGTTGTCTCATTCTTTAACTTGTCAGTTTTCTAAACCATTTATCACATACATGTGTGCAGAACCACCACTGTGAAAAAATAGTGAAAATTCCAATCACTTTTGTGATTTCTCATATTATCAGAAACTTCCTTGACAATGTGGGAAATCACAAAAGCAATTGATATTTCACTATTTTTTCAGTGGTTTTTCTTCATATTGTGATATCACCTGTTTACTGAGATCTTACTGCACATACATGTATATTAACCCTTAAACTGTCCAAACGTACTTATACGTTCGGAGCGCTAGCAGTGCGAAGGTAGATCAATGTTTGGACAGTTTAAGGGTTAAAGGAGACGATGAAGGTGTAAATGCCTCGTTCACTCATAAACGTGAACAGCTTTAGTTAACTGCATTCGTTAAATACGTTTATTTAGGCACAGGTACACTTAAGCACAATTATCAAAGAGTAAATTACCCAGGGTAATCGAAAAAAGTAAAGTGATTTATTTCCACTGGGGCCCTTGATGGTGTGGAAAGTCAAATCTTAGAGTCAGAGACAATTTAGTTAGGTCATACAGAGTTATTGCCTCTTTACATTGTAATTCGAGTGTATGATAGTATTTTTATATAGTTAACAGTGGTACCTCAAGTTTCGTACAGCTCTCAACTCGAACAATTATGTCAGTGTTTTTGTAAGTGTATTTTTGGGGGTTTGAAATGAACTAATCTAACTCACATTATTCCTCATGGGAACAAATTTGTTCAGTAACTGCACTTGAACAGCCTTCTGGAACAAATTATGGCCGAAACTGGGGGTACCACTGTACCAGCAAGATACACTCAAGATAAATACTGTCGTTCTTTATCGAAAATTTGCCTGACAAAAATACCACTAAGCCAACATAGTTCAAAAGCATAATAATCTGCTCATGCTGAATTAAAAAATGACGAATACACGAACAAAATTAAAAATCAACTGGAACAAAAAGTTAAGGAACACTTCATGGTACAATATTGTAGTTTAACTTATCACAAGTCATGAGGAATCGCTGTAACTAAATGTGCATTAATGTTGGTAGAATTACCGACAATATGATAGGAAAAAGGACACGTGCAACCAATGTGACATTCTACTGTTGCAACGTTTCACTCTCTCGGAGCTTTATCGAGGCCATTACGGCTTGACCATGGTCCTGGAGAATGAAATATTATTATAATCATGGGGGAGTGCTAAACCTGTAGGATTATACAGCGCCTGTGGGAGATTACCTGGAGAGAGTTCCGGGGGTCAACGCCCCCGCGGCCCGGTCTGTGACCAGGCCTCCTTAGGTCAGTGTCCCAGGATGCGACCCACACCAGTTCACTAACACCCAGGATGCGACCCACACCAGTCGACTAACACCCAGGTACCCATTTTACTGATGGGGAACATAGACAACAGGTGGAAAGAAACACGTCCAATGTTTCTACTCTGGCTGGGAGGGAAGGTATTCAGGCTCAATTCAGGGAACTGGAGCATAGATCCAATTCCCTAGATCAAGAGCCCCTCACCAACATCAAGGAACTTCCCTTGGGGGGGGGTACCGTTGTCAGAATAAAATGTCTAATTAGCTGCCCGTCCTTTTATATAACATTATATCTGAACGCTGACATAAACCTACGACTGAAATATGAATCGACTATTATTTTTTAATTAACACATTGGCCGTTTCCCACCAAGGTGACCTGAAAAAGAAAAACTTTCACCATCATTCACTCCACTGATTATTCATTCACTTCCCCCGACCACAAGTGGCGATATTCACCTTTATCTCGGAGAGACTGACGCTACTCTCCTCGACTTCAAACCGAACCACACGGAAGTTGACGTTATCATCCGTCTGATACGAGAGGATAAAACGCAGGTGGTTATTAACATAGACTTTATCGTTATAGATATACCCGAGCTTATAGCCCCGTTCGTAGACTTGTTCGTGGGTATCCATCATGGTAAATTTCGTGGCGCAGGGCAGGTTATCGACCAATAAATGAACATAATACTCATGTCTGATCCTATTAGCCACCTCTTTAGCCTCTTTCTCATTCCATATAATAGGGTCATTAACGTGATGACAGAGTAATCTGCATGGGGTATTAACAGCCATTTTCACATCATAAGGGGTATTGACGATCCTGTCCCCCCTTAGTACCTCCCCTAGGTTCTCAGACTTGTAAATTGTGCCATTTTGAGGGCGACATAACTGGAGGGAATAATATTCATAAGGAAGTTGTGTCTGGGAACTCGTCATCTTGACAGCCTTAACATCCACAGCATCTTTCCTCTTAAACTCCACCGGTGCTACTCCAGGCACATAAAAACTCCATGAAACCCGCACCACCAGTGTCAGAAATATAATGGAGTACCACATGGCGTCCTCTACACCACTAAACTACGGGAAAAACATCAAAAAATGTGGATGGGTTGACCCCCAGACTCAGCCGTTGCCAACACAACAAACTGCTGGTGGTCGCTTATGTTACAACATCGTCAACCACAACCTCAAACTTTATTATTCAATCCCAATCATATTTTCTAACCAAAAGTAAGATAAGATAAGATAAGATTTCGTTCGGATTTTTAACCCCGGAGGGTTAGCCACCCAGGATAACCCAAGAAAGTCAGTGCGTCATCGAGGACTGTCTAACTTATTTCCATTGGGGTCCTTAATCTTGTCCCCCAGGATGCCACCCACACCAGTCCACTAACACCCAGGTACCTATTTGCTGCTAGGTGAACAGGACAACAGGTGTAAGGAAACGTGTCGAAATGTTTCCACCCGCCGGGAATCGAACCCGGACCCTCCGTGTGTGAAGCGGGAGCTTTATCCACCAGGCCACCGGGCCAGTAAATTAAGAAATTGAGTAGGTAAAGTAAGTCAGTAAAGTAAGAGTAAAAAAGTAAGTAAAGTAAAAAAGTAAGTAAAGTAAGAAAGTAAGTAAAGTAAGAAAGTAAGTAAAGTAAGTAAACTAAGAAAGTAAGTAAAGTAAAGTAAGAAAGTAAGTAAAGTAAGTAAAGTAAGAAAGTAAGTAAAGTAAGTAAACTAAGAAAGTAAGTAAAGTAAGAAAGTAAGTAAAGTAAGAAAGTAAGTAAAGTAAGAAAGTAAGTAAAGTTTACCTGAAGTTTACCTGGAGAAAGTTCCGGGGGTCAACGCCCCCGCGGCCCGGTCTGTGACCAGGCCTCCTGGTGGATCAGAGCCTGATCAAGCAGGCTGTTACTGCTGGCTGCACGCAAACCAACGTACGAGCCACAGCCCGGCTGGTCAGGAACCGACTTCAGGTGCTTGTCCAGTGCCAGCTTGAAGACTGCCAGGGGTCTGTTGGTAATCCCCCTTATGTATGCTGGGAGGCAGTTGAACAGTCTCGGGCCCCTGACACTTATTGTATGGTCTCTTAACGTGCTAGTGACACCCCTGCTTTTCATTGGGGGGATGTTGCATCGTCTGCCAAGTCTTTTGCTTTCGTAGTGAGTGATTTTCGTGTGCAAGTTCGGTACTAGTCCCTCTAGGATTTTCCAGGTGTATATCATGTATCTCTCCTGCCTGCGTTCCAGGGAATACAGGTTTAGGAACCTCAAGCGCTCCCAGTAATTGAGGTGTTTTATCTCCGTTATGCGCGCCGTGAAGGTTCTCTGTACATTTTCTAGGTCAGCAATTTCACGTGCCTTGAAAGGTGCTGTTAGTGTGCAGCAATATTCCAGCCTAGATAGAACAAGTGACCTGAAGAGTGTCATCATGGGCTTGGCATCCCTAGTTTTGAAGGTTCTCATTATCCATCCTGTCATTTTTCTAGCAGATGTGATTGATACAATGTTATGGTCCTTGAAGGTGAGATCCTCCGACATGATCACTCCCAGGTCTTTGACGTTGGTGTTACGCTCAATTTTGTGGCCAGAATTTGTTTTGTACTCTGATGAAGATTTAATTTCCTCGTGTTTACCATATCTGAGTAACTGAAATTTCTCATCGTTGAACTTCATATTGTTTTCTGCAGCCCACTGAAAGATTTGGTTGATGTCCGCCTGGAGCCTTGCAGTGTCTGCAATGGAAGACACTGTCATGCAGATTCGGGTGTCATCTGCAAAGGAAGACACGGTGCTGTGGCTGACATCCTTGTCTATGTCAGATATGAGGATGAGGAACAAGATGGGAGCGAGTACTGTGCCTTGTGGAACAGAGCTTTTCACAGTAGCTGCCTCGGACTTTACTCTGTTGACGACTACTCTCTGTGTTCTGTTAGTGAGGAAATTATAGATCCATCGACCAACTTTTCCTGTTATTCCTTTTGTGCGCTATTACGCCATGGTCACACTTGTCGAAGGCTTTTGCAAAGTCTGTATATATTACATCTGCATTCTTTTTGTCTTCTAGTGCATCAAGGACCTTGTCGTAGTGATCCAATAGTTGAGACAGACAGGAGCGACCTGTTCTAAACCCATGTTGCCCTGGGTTGTGTAACTGATGGGTTTCTAGATGGGTTGTGATCTTGCTTCTTAGGACCCTTTCAAAGATTTTTATGATATGGGATGTTAGTGCTATCGGTCTGTAGTTCTTTGCTGTTGCTTTACTGCCCCCTTTGTGAAGTGGGGATATGTCTGTTGTTTTTAGTAACTGTGGGACGACCCCCGTATCCATGCTCCGTGTCCATGCTCCCTCTCCATAGGATGGTAAAGGCTCGTGATAGGGGCTTCTTGCAGTTCTTGATGAACACGGAGTTCCATGAGTCTGGCCCTGGGGCAGAGTGCATGGGCATGTCATTTATCGCCTGTTCGAAGTCATTTGGCGTCAGGATAACATCAGATAGGCTTGTGTTAACCAAATTCTGTGGCTCTCTCATAAAAAATTCATTTTGATCTTCGACTCTCAGTCTGGTTAGTGGCTTGCTAAAAACTGAGTCATATTGGGACTTGAGTAGCTCACTCATTTCCCTGCTGTCATCTGTGTAGGACCCATCTTGTTTAAATATGGGCCCAATACTGGACGTTGTTCTCGACTTTGATTTGGCATAGGAAAAGAAATACTTTGGGTTTCTTTCGATTTCATTTATGGCTTTTAGTTCTTCCCGCGATTCCTGACTCCTATAAGATTCCTTTAGCTTAAGTTCGATGTTTGCTATTTCTCTGACCAGTGTCTCCCTACGCATTTCAGATATATTGACCTCTTTTAGCCGCTCTGTTATTCTTTTCCGTCGCCTGTAAAGGGAGCGCCTGTCTCTTTCTATTTTACATCTACTCCTCCTTTTTCTTAGAGGAATAAGCCTTGTGCCACCGAGTTAATCTGTTCTAGGCATAAGTTGGGGTCTGTGTTGCTTAGTATATCTTCCCAGCTTATATCGGTTAGGACTTGGTTTACTTGGTCCCACTTTATGTTTTTGTTATTGAAGTTGAATTTGGTGAATGCTCCCTCGTGACTAATCTCATTATGTCGGTCTGGGGCTCCGCGCATACATGACTGAACCTCAATTATGTTGTGATCTGAGTATATTGTTTTTGATATGGTGACATTTCTTATCAGATCATCATTGTTAGTGAAGATGAGGTCTAGTGTATTCTCCAGTCTAGTAGGCTCTATTATTTGCTGGTTTAAATTGAATTTTGTGCAGAGATTTAAAAGCTCGTGTGAGTGTGAGTTTTCATCAGAGCTGCCTCCTGGTGTTATTATTAAGTAAAGTAAGTAAAGTAAGTCATATAACAACTGTAAGCCATACACAACTGTAGAACAGACCATTATTATTATTATTATTATACTCAAGGGGAAGCGCTAAACCCGTAAGATTATACAGCGCCTGGGGGGGATGTGGAAGACATTCAGGCTTAATTCGGGGAACTGGAGCACAGATCCAATTCCCTAAATCAAGAGCCCCTCACCAACATCAAGGAACCTTCCCTGAGAAGATAGAACAGACCAGCAAGGGGGAGGAACAGCTATATACTACTCAAATTAACTCGAATGTATCAATAAATCTTGCACAAGGGATGAACATGGAGAATATATCATAGCCAAATTTAAATCAAAAGACCTGCAAAAACCCCTCACAGTTATAAACATCTACAGAGTACCACAGTCAAACATTTACCACTTTAGTGAAAAACTGGGAAACATGATTACTGATGCACACATGAATAAAGACCACCTACTACTAACAGGTGATTTCAACATAAACATACTACACGACCAGGACCCACAAGTAACCGAATTCACAAACACAATGAGTAACTGCCTGTTGCTACCAGCAATATATAAACCTACAAGAATCTCCGAGACAAGCATCTCCTTAATAGACCTCATCTGGACAAACACCATATCTCCTTTAAAATCAGACATAATCACAGACAACACTACAGACCACTACCCAACCTTTCTCATAACTAATCTGGGCAAACTGCCACAAGACATTACTAAAGTAACCTTCAGACTACATAACGAGACAGCAGTCAACAACTTTATAGCAGCTATGAATATGGAAAATTCTGTAGGGTGTTACCTGTATGTACCTCACCATTATATACATACAAGTAATCCCATTGGGAGACAACACTATATTGTTTACCGTAGTCACCCCGTGTAGACATGTGAGAAAACTTCACCACCCCTGGTCACTGCAGGTGGTTCCTTCGACCTCACAATCTTATCCATATCTATCCGAGACCAGTATAGATTGGATAGCACCCGCAAGTACGGCGCTACTAATTGTAGACTGTATAGATTATATTAGTGTAACTGGATGAAGGGGGGGGGGTTAAACATGGATATATCCATCAAGGAAAAACACTTGTACATAATCTCACCACTTACCAGATATTCTCTGGTGGTCACTTGATGTAGCTGGATCACCCATTGTTGCAACCCCTGAATGGGTTACAATGTATATTATATATATATAATACATGTATATTACCTTTCATATAATTTTATATTGCTTATATTTGCTGTAATAGCTAAATCGTAAATATATTGCTTTATATTATTATTTGACTTAGTTTCCTTTTGTTAGGTAGGATGTAACACATATTGTGGAAAATACTGTATATATTTTCCAGAAATTCAGTATTTATATGTAAATAGATGGCCACACTGTATTTAATAATACCTGGAGTTCATTACCTTTGTAACTAGTTCAGCTATCATAACTTTGGGGTCCAGTCACTGGACCCATTATGTACCTTTGTAATCTTTTGACTACCGCCCACAGGATGGGTATGGGGTGCATAAAGATATTAAACTAAAGTGTGTGTGTGTGTGTGTGTGTGTGTGTGTGTGTGTGTGTGTGTGTGTGTGTGTGTGTGTGTGTGTGTGTGTGTGTGTGTGTGTGTGTGTGTGTGTGGTGTGTGTGACTCAACAATCAATATTTGCACCAATAACTCATTACAGTTGTGACCGGGTGTGGAAGTGTGAATTGCTCATTACTCTATAATTTGTTCATGATTGTAGCCAAAGTATAAACGTAAGTAACCATTCTACAGAATTCATTACCTTTGTAACTTGTGAGCTCATTACCTTTGTACCTAGTTCAGCTATCAAAACTTTGGGGGCCCAGTCCCTGGACCCATTACGTACCTCTGTAATCTGTAAATACTTTTGTAACTTGTCATGATTGTGACCAGACTTACCTGGAGTTCATTACCTTTGTAAATTGTGAGTTCATTACCTTTGTAAATTGTGAGTTCATTACCTTTGTAAATTGTGAGTTCATTACCTTTGTAAATTGTGAGTTCATTACCTCTGTAACTTGCTCAGCTATCAAAACTTTGGAGTCCAGTCCCTGGACCAATTATGTACCTCTGTAATCTTTTGACTACCGCCCACAGGATGGGTATGGGGTGCATAATAAACATATTAAACTAACTAAACTAACTCTG